CTCCGTGACGAAGGGACACTTGGGGCACGTTAGGAGTTTCTCGGCCTTGATGTGGCCGCGGCTGTGCTCCCAGAATTCGAGCTTCGTGATCGCCACGAAGTTGCACTGTTTGCACCTGAACGTTTTTACCTTGCCCTGCGAGTTCACGCGGGGCACCCGGAGCCCTGGTTCGTCTGCCTCCTCGGACTCGTGTTCAGAACGCTCGCCTTGCGTGGGTGATGAGCGACTCTCGTCTTGGATGGAGCCCGACGGCGTCAGCTGACCTAGCACTGTTTTTGCGAAGTCTGACGGCTGACTCTGCATCGTGCAGTGCGTGGCTAGGTGCTCCGTGAAGGTTAGCCTGCGAAACGGAACACAATCTTAACTAACGATTCATCTATACTTGTAATCTATATGTTGTAGGTCGTTGCGCGAGAGAAACCATGGGAGCTGCATCGAAATTTAACGGGTAATGTATCTTCAATGTTCCAAAATGTTTATGTCTAGGGTGTTCGGTAACTGGTGGTACAAGCGAAAAGGGGATACACGAAAAAATAAGTTGAGTATAATATAAAAATTGTTCTGCTGTTATAATTAAATTTCTATGAACGCTGCCGGATACATACTTCTGCTCTTCTGATTAACCTTTTCGTTACGATAGTCCACTCCGCTGGAGTAACACCACTGACGGAGCACCGCGTCGCAGCCGTACAAACAGATTGTCGCGCGCACGCCGATTATGGCCGGCGCCCGTAATGAAAGGGCTAAATCATCTAAAGGGGTAAATTATCTAAAATAATCGAATGCGGTGGAAAGCGTTCATAGAAACTTAACACTTTACCTACCGGAAGCCTATTAATCGTCTCTATTCCATGGCAAACAATACTTTCTTATTTATTACTGAGATAGCACGATCCCATTGTATGCTTCCATTAACATGTGGATTATGAAATATTATAAAGCCTCGCACGAAAAATTTTTATTCTACATTTTCGACTTATTTTATCCTGTGGAATGAGTGGACGGCGCTTCCTTTTCGCTCGCGCCACCAGTTACCGAAAACACCGTGTATTACACACGCTCTTTGGGTAGTCCACGATCGACTGAAAGTAGATCTTCACCTGTTCAAAGCTGTGAACGCGCAGATCGGGCACTGCAAGACGTCTTGGCTGATGTCAGCGTCTTCGTTTGACGGTTTCACCGTGCTGGAAACCACGTTCATCGCCTGCTCCGCGTGGTGAACGTCCATAGAGAACTCGAGCGGCGAACCGCCGCAGTTCTTGAACAGCTGCTGTGAACCGTAGTCGTAGGTGCTGCACTGCATGGCGCCGGACTCCTGCGAAGTCGCGCTTCCGGGTGACAGGCTGCAGTTTGCTGTGGTTGAGGATCGCCTGCTTCTGGGCGAGGCGGAGTTGCTGGTGTAGTGATCAGGCGACACGCCTGAGTCGTTGTTTTTGTCCTCGGATGGCTCGCTCTTCTGTCGAGATTAAGGTTCAGATTCTTGTTAGATTAAGGTTGCTGAGGATTCTATAATTAGAGGGACGATGTTTAGTGTTAGGAATAACATCGTCGCTACTTAGATAATATTGAATCGATTAGTATTAGACCAAAATAGTCAAGAAATATTGTAATCAAGGCATTGGAATGAAAGAAAGTAAAGCGTTGTTTGGAGTTGTATAAAATGTAATCTATGTAAGATGTTGAGAGACCATATTTCCTAGGATAGTTTCAATAAATTCAATTTAGAAATTTACTTTGTTGCGCGTAGTTAATCGGAATCCCCCTGATCCACAGTGTGTCATAGTCTGTGTAAACTATGTTGATTATTTTAGTATTCACGTTCTTGCTAAATAAATTTTCGAAACGGAGCACCGTACGGCGGAGTCCGCTGGTTTCAAGTGATGTAAGCGCTAGCAAAGTAATATTTGAACTGATATATCTAAAAAGCCGGGCAACAGAATTTAATCCTTTATTTACTAGCGAGACTTGTAAGCTACCTATTGTGACTTTCAAGTTCACATCTATGAAGAGCGTTTTTAATTGTTGGATGGAAGCACAAGCATTTCTGGAAGCTTGTTAGAGACAATTCTATAAGATGATATAAAACCAAGATGGACGTCTAGATTTTAAAAAGTTTTGAGAAATTCAATAAAGGGTTATTAAATTGTTCGGTAAGGGACCGCCGTGGAAAATTATAATTAAAGCTGCGACCACTTAGGTCAGCGAAAACCGACTTCTGGTCCATCGAATCTGGAATTTTTGTACGTGCAATTATTCAATCTCGAATATTCTTTTCCAGAATGAAGCAGGAAGCATGCGTCGACGAGTGGACGGCGAATCAGCCCCAAGAAGAAAACAAACGTACAATTTCTTCGAGCTTATGAGGAGAAGGGTCCAGAGTCCATCGAACCGAGAATGAGACGACATTTTGTCGATGAAGAAAGGGGATGGTCGTGGAAGAGAGAGGTCCGTTGATTTAGGGGACGAAGAACAAAGACAACAAGAGCGCGAAGGGTGGGAATAGGGTGAGATGCAAACGGAACGAGAGATGCGAATAAGTTGAGCGAGCGAGAGAAAGAGAAAGAAAGAGAGAGGGGGCAGAGAGAGAAAGAGTGAAAAGGAGAGAAGAGATTCGATCGTAGAGGGGTTGAAGCGATTACTCACCACGATTCTATCGGCGATATTCCAAGCGGGCGTGGTTAGCGAATGAATGGAATGGCGTTGCTCCTCGACGATGGTCTGTTCCTGATCCTGTCGTTGCTGGCTCGGCATGTGCACCAGAGCTTCTGCCGTGTCCCAATTTCCTCGCATCTTGTTGCTCTGCGAACCGAAAGTCATAAATTAACCCTCTATGAGCCGAATTTTTGTTTTCTGCAAATACAATTTGCAAGGCATTTATTTTAATACTTCGAGTTAATGGTATTGTCAATCGTCATCAATATTGTTATTGGCTATGAGAGACATTATACAGGGTGTATAATTATACATTTTCGCTAAGGAAAAAGTTTCAAATCACCTCCCGAACCACTTCTTCCAAGGTGTTACAACATTCTTGAGACACCCTGTTAAGTTCGCATACGGCTCCAATGATTAACCCTCTATGAGTCTAAGTAACTTTCTGGTCACATGCAAATATTAGGTTGTCCCGAAAGTTTCTTTCGCGAGTTGCACTCAATTATTTTATGTGGTCGTGTTTATATAAATAGAAAGTCTAATTTCATAGATATTCATGTTGTAACAGTATTGGAGTAAAATGAATCGTGCACAATTCAGTAATGTAACATAAAACATAAAATATTGTGTATATATTAGTTATTAATAAAGCGAAAGAAACTTTTAGGACAATCTAATGTATCGACATTTCAGCAAATACTTTGTCTTTCCAACAAATGACGTATACGTCTTAATTATATAATGTCTCTGATAGCCGATATAACGAACCACCCCTTTCAAGGAGTTCCAACATTTATTGGACACCCTGTATATTCAATACTAGCCGCTGCTTTACCCTCGATAGCTGGAGCACCAACAACTATGCACTTAAAAATTCATTCCGATTGATACCGAACGTTTAAAACGAATTGTACACTTGCAATTAATTGTTTTTAATATTCGGTTGCATGTACGTATCAAAATTGATATAAGCGAACAAATCTATTCGACACTAGTCCTTCACCCTCGATATTGAAGTACCAAGAATTCGAATCTATTACGAATTTATATAAAACAAAATTTATACCGTAAAAGCAACCGTAAGCTAGACGTCGTCCTCTGCAGAATTAGTCGAAATGTACAGTTACGGAAGTTCCAATTGCAACTGTAAATCATAAATTACCACGGCCGACTAGGAGAGCACGGATAGGAAAAATATAACGGACGGAAAATTTGAATAGGATAAAGAAACAGGTGAAAAGTTCCCTCACAATGAAAGCGAAAAGGGTTTGTGCGAATTTCCACGAAGAAGGGTCTACGCGACTGCGACCAATAACCAATGGCTGCTCGAAGGTACGGTTCAAAGAGTATTTTCCTGGTAAAATTTGCCTATTGCCATCGACATTTTCGCCTCGAACGCCTCGCGAGAACAAACCGTAGGTACGTTGGGCTAATTTATTCAACCAGGGCGACAAACAGCGAAAATGTTTTGGTGACAGAGCTATGAAGCCACCGCAGGAAACCTGTCCTTGCCATTTAGCATCAACATCCTTCGTCCTTATGTGTACATTAAACATATTCGATCGCGTACATTTTGAATAACTCTAGAAATTTTAAATTGTCTACGCTTAAAGCGAGTTGGATTCGAAACATTTAGCAGATACTTCTAGAGTTGAAATTGTCTCGAGTTATACATGTAGAATTTTAATTGTTCGCGTATCAACCCTTAAATGCCATAAGTTTCAAATTCGTCAGAGAACTTTCAAATCAAATTGTATGTTTGCAGTTAATTATTTTTGGTTGCACGTATGTATCGAAATTGATACTTGCTTTCTTTTTGAAATAAATACAGTCAGTGTAAGGAGTATTCGTACAGCAATCCATTTAAAATAAATGGTTTCTGTACGAATATATTTATTACACTGACTGTATATAAAATATGTATTGGGATTTTCTTTATTATTTTGCGTTTTATCTGGTCACTCCAATAGATACATTACATCAGGCTTTCAAGGGTTAATAGAAAAGTATACAGTATCTATGTTACATATAATTTGTTCGATTTTGTTGACTTTACGTGTATTTTTCAAGAAGTATTTTTATTTAGTTTAAACATGACAAATGCTATCCATAATTTGTTTGGTTTTGTTGACTCTACGTGTATTTCTCGAGAAGTATTTTTATTTAGTTTGAACGCTACGGATAATTTGTTCGATACACGCGTAACTCGAGATCTTGAAGTAAGTACCTACGGATGAGTTGTATGAAGAGTGACGAAGCCAGCAACGAATTTGCTAAAAAGATAAACCACTTTCGGCAGGTCGTTTCGCAGTTCATCTGGTCGAAGGACGGAAAGGTTCCAGGGTTGAGGTCTCAACCGTCAAATTTATTCAATTGGAGCACATTTTCGAACCCCGTTAACGGCAGACCGGGTTGGGAGATTCCTGCCTTTGACTTCTAGCGAACGTTTCATTGTCCGTTATGTCCCGTGAGACGACGGCCATAAATAATATTCAAAGCAGCCTAGGTCGCGTCTTTCTCTACCGGTCTACTAAACCGTGGCCCAAGGAAACCTGGACGAAAACAAACAACCCTTGCTAGGAGGAAACGAAGTCTTTCCGCTGAATGCCACGACCAATCCCAAAACGCAATTATGCTATTCTACCAAAGATGGACGAAGTTCCAAACTAAGAGTTCCATACAAATTTAATACACAAAGTTAAATAACGTTTAACATTAACATTTCAGATGAGGGATGAAGATGATAGGATTAAGATTGTAGAATTAATATTATATGAAGCAAGAGAAGATTTAATCTAGAGGTAAATGTTCCGAAGAGAATATTCCACCCTCTGAGATTAATTTCTTCCTTTAGGCTATCTTACTCTAAGGAAACTGAAATGCTACTTTCTTCTACCAGGAAAGACAGAGTATTCGAAAATCGACCTGGTAAACGGGGACAGACGAAGTTCGAAACTAAATCAAGAGTTCGATACAAATTTAATAGACAAAATTAAATAACATTTAACATTAACATTTCAGATAAGGAATGAAGATAATAAAATTGAGATTGTAGAATTAATATTATATAATGCGAGAGAAGATTTAATTTCTCAGAGGTTCCAAAGAGAATATTCCACCCCACTGAGATTAATTTCTTCCTTTAGGCTATCTTACTCTAAGGAAACTAAAATGCTACTTTCTTCTTCCAGGAAAGGCAGAGTATTCGAAAATCTGACCTGATTAACGACGACAGACAAAGTCCCAAACTAAATCAAGAGTTCCATACAAATTTAATACTCGAAGTTAAATAACATTTCAGATGAGAGATGAAGATAACAGAATTGAGATTGTACAATTAATGTTACAAATTGAAGGCCCGACAAAATTTAATCTAAAAGTAAATGTTTCGAAGAGAGTCTTTCACCCCCTGAGATTAATTTCTTCCTTTAGGCTATTTTACTCTAAGGAAACTAAAATGCTACTTTCTTCTTCCAGGAAAGCCAAAGTATTCGAAAATCGACCTGGTTAACGGCGACAGAAGACGCGCGATGAAACAAAGGAAAACGTAAACTATCCATCGGGCAATGTCGATGCGAACTTCGTTGAAATTCTTCAGGCTCGCATTCCACAATCGATTAGAGCGGTGCCCTCAACGTCTTCGGCCGAAGAGGATGAAAAAAGTCTTTGGCAAAAGTCGAAGGAAGCCTTCGAAATTCCGAGCACAATCACAACAGTAAATAGAAAAGCTGCGAGCCGAAGGGTCAAGGGGGGGGGGGGCCCCCAATGGAAACACGTGCCAGGAACCACTGTGGATCCTCGAGACTCAAGACATCACCGACAACTCTTATCAACGATATTCGATACGCAAACGATGGATAAATAACATCCGATTCGCCGATTATTAGATAACGATAAAAATTTATGATGCGATACGCGAAATAAGAAACTAGAATGAAATTAGAATGAAATTAGAATGAAATTGGAATGAAATTAGAAAGGAATGAGAATTCATGTTGTATGAAGTGACGACGAAATACAGTCAGTCCAATAGGTACTCGTGTATTAATTTATAGGTATGACGTTCTCAAATAAATGTTTCGTTATAAATATACGTGTATATATTTGTAACGAAAAATTTGTTTGGAAACATCACACCTGCCATTCAATTTAGACAAATTCCTTCAATGGACACAAAGGGTACGAACACTTATGGGACTGACTGTATATAATTAATTTAACCTTCGATTGACATAGTCACATTCAGCGACTGTTACAAATCAATTGATACATTAAATTTCTGCTATTCTATTTTACATTATATTTTTATTCCACTATATTTCTATATTACTATATTCAATTGTACTATTTCAAGTTTCTGCTAATCGTAAGCTTCGTTAATGCTCACATGTTTATATAGATCACGTATAGGTAAAGATCGCGACATTTCGTTTGAAAAATGTATCCACGAAGAGACCGCGAGCAATGGCGCCGTACGGCGTTATGGTGAACGAGAAATGAATGCCTATAAGAGCCATTTATATCACGCAAATACGACTGTGTTTCGAGGCTCGAATTCTACTATATAAACTACATACTAATACATATCCTATTGTATAAATAACAATTCGAAATTCAGACATAAATTATATCGTGTAATCGAACGTAGCCAAGTAATTCAAACTGAAGATCCACCATCGATCATCCTCCATGCTAAACGCGTTACGAGCACCGAGAAATCGATTCCATAAACCGATACCTAGGTTCGCCCATTTATTTGCACGAACTCTACTCGTCGTGTTAAAATTTAACGAAATATCGCACGATTGTTTTCCGTCGTTCTCGTCGCCATGTTGGAATTTTCTCGGTGTTTGTTTCTCCCCAAAGACAGTAAATGTCATTGCCGTATCGACGCTTTTCGAAACACGCAAACAAACGGCCAAATTCGAGGAACACGTGCGCGCGCGCGCGCGAGCGCGTGGTACATACCTCTCTCCTTGAAAGTCGACGATTCTTGGAAATGAATTCCGCGATGGAAAACTCGACGTCGTCGCGAAACGTTTCGTACCGTCGATCCGACCGACGCACGTTCGATGTTATTTTATCGGGGCGACAAGTGAACGACGCCGAAAAAAACCCGCTCGCTTCGACGAACACGGGGGAAAAAACGATAAAGAAATTTCGGTGTGTCGGAAATCGCACGTCTCTGGAACTTTGAACGTCGCGATAACGGAAGCGCCTTGCTTGTACTTATTCGCGGCTTTCGACTTTCAAACATAACTTTGTATTACTACCGTTCGGTTGGAATTCAAATTTTCCTTCATTTATAAATATTACATATAGGCTAAAATAGATCGCGACTCGAGACTATGTCTTCTAGTGTATAATTAAGACAGTTTCCAAATTTACGAGTAGTTTTACGCAAGAAACTAATATCAGAACGCGAGACAAACATCTACAGTCGGTCCCATGAATATTCGTACCCTCTACATCTATCCAAGATATTTGTTTAAATTAAACGATAGGCTTGATAGGTTTCATGTATATATAAATATATATATATATATATATATATATATATATATATATATATATAGTTATATATACTATATATATAACTATATATATATAATTATATATAAGCTTCTTCATACACGTATTTATAGTGAATAATTAATATAGAATAAGTAACATAAGTACTAATATGAGTAATCTCAAAATTATTATTTAATTTAGTCAAACTTCTTCGATAGGCATAGAGGGTGCAAATATTTACGCAATAAATACAATATCCTTTCATCGGGTTCAACTTGAAGATCGTCGTTCTCCGAAAGCTAGCGAGCGGATAGATAGCCCGGTACCCGCCTTATGAAACCAAAATCCTGCCCAAGGATACGAAATCCATCGGCGAGCCTCGCGCACGTTGTTATTAAACTCTGATAATTAATTGTACGGGCGTACCTCGAGTTGGAAATTTCCAGCTTCGTTCGAGCACCGTGGAAGACGTCCTACGAGTCGTGGTGGCTTCGATGGTCCTTGCACAAGTGTCACTGATACGATATCCGATAAACAGCGACGGCCTCGTCGCGCAAACGAGACTTGCACTTAACAATAACCGAGAAAAATCCGTGTAAACGCGTGCTCTTCGACCCGATTTTGGTCTCGAGTACCGTGCGGATGCTCGAGGTCGACTGGCGATACTAAATGTCCCAACGTGGTAGCGGGGTTTATTTGTAGACGGTGCCGATGGGGCAGCTACCCTCTCCATTCGTCCTTTCCGCCTATCCAATCGGAGGCACGGCCGCAGGCGTCCCCCATTCACACGCGTTTTTAAATATTACCCCTTCCCATTACCTGCTCGATGGCTCGTTGCGAATTAGAATCCGTCTTTTTGCCCGAATCCTTCCTTTCCATCCCCACCACGGCTCCCCGGCGACTCTTCAGAGATTGTTTCGGGGGGTAACGTCGCAGTTTCAACCCCTTCCTTCGTTCGGGGTTCTAATTAATCCCCACTTTCGCGTTTATTCTTCGTACTCCGGCTAGCGGTACATTTGAAAACGTCTCGTCCCGGAGAAATTCTACCGCGATCGATTCCAATGCTTTCCATGATTCTTTTAACCCTTTGAGCGCCAACGACCGGTATATCGCTCCTCCATACAGTTGCAAAAAAGGCCAAGAGCACTGAGTGCTATAACTCGTTCGAAACCATACGTTTATGTGTAACAATTATGAATAGAATATTTATGTTTACTTTTAATTATGTTTACTTACAAATAAAGTTCAAATTCAAGTTTTTATAAAAGTATTTTCCATGTGCAAATTTATTTTTTGATAAACCTACGACGTTTCATTTTTAGTCTTTTAGTAATAAAGGAACTCTAACGTGTTTTTAGTATCGCATGAAAATTTCGTGAAACGCGAAATAAAATTTACCGAAATATACGTTATTGTTTATAATCAATCTTTGCTTAAAATTGTCTGGCATTTCTGGGGTGTCTATGGAAATTTCCTCTGACACTCGAAGGGTTAAATGGACTTTAGAATCGTATCCCGTGTTAGATCTGTAAATATTAAGAATTGGTACGATGTAGTTATTTATAATATAAAATAAATCTTGTATATAGTCTGATGTAATAGTTTATGGATGCTTACCGTTTATTTATTTACCCATCGTCTGAATCACAAAAGAATGAAGAACGTTCCTCGTTGATTTTTAATTTATCGTTTTAATCGTCAAGATCGCGAACCCGTTAAGGGTTCCCCCGAAGGGTGAACCCGAACGAAAGGGTTAAGCAGCACGTTCCGCGAGAGTCTCGAACGTCCTCCATCTTCTTTACTTCTCCAGAGAGTTTAAAAATAGGGAAAAGATCCTCTAATTAGCGTCGGTAATTTCTGCTTTCGACAGAAGAAACCAAAAACCGCGTCGATACGCTCGCGCACCCTTTTCTGTATCCGTTTTCGGGGCGGCCTGCATTCTATCCACTCGGACGCGTCGCACCCTTTCTCCGACTGCAAGAAAACATTCAGACGCCATTAGTCGAACTCCAAAATTACAGAAAATACAGGGAAACTTTCAAGGTTTCCCTCGCCGCGGAGCCTACTTTCCAAAGCGAGTACTTCGCTTGGAGAAGTCCGCTGTTCGAGTCGAATCAAATAGTTTATTTAGCGTTTTGTTTACAGTTAACAAAGTAACGACTGGAATATTCCTCGCGATAAATCGTGCTGCTCGAATAGTTACCGTAATCAATCTGGTTTATCTGGTTTATTAGACAATCGACGCTTTATATTCGCTCTCGTGTCTCCTGCCAACGAACAACGGTTTCCGTGCAAGATGGCGACGGGAGTTCTTGTAAAATCCTAAACAGAATCATGCAAAGCGGAGTCATTAGGGGATTCTCGGGGCTAACAGGCCCAACAGGTACACGGAAAACGCTGTAAATCGTCCCTCAACCCTTTCCTCGATCCGTAGGGCGGGGGAGGAAAAAATCTCGAGGCCTTAAAGGCTTCATCAAAAAATACCCTTCAACCCTTTCACTCTAATCTCCTTTTCCGGAGAACGGAACCGTCGTCGCGCCGTTTACGACGCTTTTACAGTTAACTTTCGAAGAGCGACGGAGAGAAAAAAGATGACCCAGACGGTGAGACGAGAGTCCGCCAATTTCTAACTGTTTCCTTGGCAATCTACGAAAACGCTAACCCCTTTCGGCGACCTTGTTTTTCCCTGTTTTCGCAAAAACACGCTTGCGCTTCATCCTCGGCGTGAATTTTCACTTTACGACGCTGCAATTCCTATGCCGAGGTCGTCGGGCCTGCCGAATTTTTTGAGGAATTGTTTATTGCGAAACTTTTCACTGCTGGAGAAGACGGCATGGTCCTTTCGTTTGGGAACTAAACAAAAAAGAAAATGAATTTTTAAAGATATTACGATTATTTTCTAATTGGTCCAAAGACTGTCAATGATTTCAACCTGTTTGGTTTGGAGGAATCGTCCTTTCGTTTGGCAACTAAAAAAAAAGAAAGAAGAACATGAATTTCAAGACATATTAAGATTATTTTCTAATTGGTCCAAGGCATGCCAATGATTTCAGCTTGTTAGATTCGGAGCAACCGCGCACGAAATGGAAGTTGGTGTACAGATAAACGGTTTTACCAAATTGGTGCGTCGCTGCGACAACAATATCCCCGGTTCCTCGCGTTCTGGTGACAATAGAGGACTGGTCGAGTTTCTAGAGGCTGTTTACGGTGACCTGAAAATTAAACGCAAAACGCAATAAATAATTGGCCGCCCGGTCGTTTTTCCCTCTGAGGCACCCCTTTTCCCAGGGGTTCATTGTTCTCCCGTCGTACGTACCGTTTTCTCGACTTGTCGCCATAAATATAACGAGAAACAGGCGCGCGCAAACATTCCTCCGACGTGTCATTTTGCGACAATCCACGGCTGTAATAAATAACCCGATTAGCGTCCCTAATCACTGTTCTATATTTCCAACCAGAACGGTGCGATTCCCGGGTCGCTAACTGCTTACT